TGGATTTTGAAATTGGGACTTGTTCTTATATTTCTAGTCTACAGATACTTGATTTTTTAAAGAAAAAATAAGGGGGAGATGCAGGCAACCACTTACTGTCTTCATTAGCTGAGTATAGACAGAGACCCCCAGAAGCTAGTAACCTTTGAAGTCCTAGCAAAGGTCAGGGTTGTGCACCACCCACTTAATTTAGACACCACCCAGTTATTCTAGATAATGGTAGCTAAAGCATTATCCCCACCTTAGCTCATTGAATTCCTTATATATTTGTGTAGGCCCTTGTTGATTATTGTTGATCAGATACTCTGCCTATTCCTGGGAATTGTCTACAGATGAGCTAATCAGATACTCTGTCTATTCCTAGAAACTGTCTGCTGATCTGTGTGTCATTGAAATCTCCTTACCTAAGGCTACTCCAAGCTTAATAAAAGATTGGAGTGCCTGAGCATTGGTGGAAGTCCTTCGGGACTTGCTTGTCTTGTCCCCCAATATTTCAAAATTATCTTGTGTCATTTCTCTCTCATTTGTGTGCGGCCCCTCTTTCAGATACCGAACCATACTCCACGCAGAACATGGAGGGAGTCTTACATGAATATATATATGTGTGTATCTCTGCAAATTCATCACATGTGTAGCATTATGTAATCTTAAACTGGACCGGAGGGCCGGAACAAAAGCATGGATGGAGTGTTTGTGTGAACTAATATAAATTCAAAGTAAACATAATTACATAAAAGGGTACGGTCTTTTCTTTTTTTTAGTTTTATTCATTTCAAACCGGCCGGATCCTGCCCATGGGCCGTAGTATGCCCACGGCTGCTCTAGACACAAGTCCTTTGTTGGATATGTGGTTTGCAAATACTTTTGCTTAGTCTGTAGTTTATCTTTTCCTCCTCATAATAGACTCTTTCACAGGGGGAAATTTAAAGACTTTTTCCTGTGTCCCATGGATCAGTTTTCCTTTTATGGCTTATCTTTTCATCCTCTTAACCCTATTTTTCAGACAGCAAATTTTTGAAATTTTGCAGAGCCCAATTTATCAAATTATTTTTTTATGAACTTTTACTTTTAAGTGCTCAGGGATTCAAGTCTAGGAATTATTTGCCTAATCATAGGTTTCAAAAAATTTTTAGTCCTCTTTTATTTAGAAGTTTTATAGTTTTGTGTATTAAATTTATCCTCCTGATCTACTTTGAGTTAATTTTTGTATAAGGCATGTGAATTACTCTGAGGTTTATTTGTTTGCCTGTGGATTGCTTGTTTGCAAGTCCAACTGCTCTAGCATCACTTACTCAAAAGTCTATCCCTCCTTTATTAAATTGTCTTTGCATCTCTGTCAAAAATTACTCATATTTGTGTAGATTTATTTCATTTCCCTATTCTGTTTCATAATCTATGTGCCTAGTCCTCCAACAGTGCCACATTGTCTTGATTTCTGCGACTATGTATGCAGCCAGGGAAAATGACTCCTCCCACTGTATTCCTATAGTTCAAAATAGTTTCTAGATAATATAGGGTCTTTCTCTTTCCATATAAATTTTAGAGTAAAATTCTTTATATTTGGGGAAAATAAATTTTGTTGAGCTATTGATAAGAATTAGGTGGAACCTGTATATAGGGGGGGAACCAAGATGGCGGCATAGGTAAACACTGGAGTTAGCTGCGTCGAATAACCACTTCAAACATACAACTAAAAGATGGAACAGACATCGCCCAGAACCACAGGAAGACTGGCTGAGGGGAAATTCTTCAACTAGAAGGAAAGAGAACAGCATATGAGACTCAGAGGAGGCGCAGTGCAGAAAATACAAAGGTGCGGAGGTACGCGCAGCTGGCTGGTAGCTGAGGGCGCGGTTGTCATTTTCAATCGGGAGGGGGGCTCAGATTCTGAGCTTCAGTTCTGGGTGAGTCTCTAGGGACCCAGACTCAAACAGGAGAAGCGGGACTGTCTGGCATTAGTTGGAACACGAGGGCAGCTCTCTCTCCGAGTTTTGCCGTGGATGCTGGGACTCTGAGAGGCAGAGCCTCTGGGGACTGGACTGAGAGCAGCCATAACTGCTCCCTCCACCGCTCTGTTGATCCCGCCCCGCCCAGGCCCTGCACAGAGCCATTTGCCAGATAGCCTCAGGCAAAGGCTAGATTAGCACCTCCCTAGGGGACAGAAGTTCTCTCACTGCAGACACAGCTGATTCTCACAGCCAGTTGGCCTGAGGTCAAATCCCCATAGTATTTACTACAACAATCAAGTATTAACTACAACAAGATTGCGCACAAAGACCACTTGGGGGTGCACCAAGAAAGCATAAAAAATCCGGAGACAAAGAAACAGGACAAAACGGTCAATGGAGGATATTGAGTTCAGAACCACACGTTTAAGGTCTCTCAAGAACTGTCTAGGAGCCGCCGATAAAGTTATTGAGATCTACGAGAAATCTAATGAGACCCTCGATGTTGTGATAAAGAACCAACTAGAAATTAAGCATACACTGACTGAAATAAAGAATATTATACAGACTCCCGACAGCAGACCAGAGGAGTGC